TGGAGGGACAGGATACAGGGAATGGCTTCACACTGCGACAGGGCAGGGTTAGGTGGGATATTGGGAAGGAATTGTTGGTTGTGAGAGTGGTGAGGCCCTGGCACAGGTTGCCCAGAGAAGCTGTGGCTGCCCCATCCCTGGAAGTGTCCAAGGCCAGGTTGGACAGGGCTTGGAGCAACCTGGGCTAGTGGAAGGTGTCCCTGCCCAGGGCAGGAGGTGGCACTGGATGGGCTTTAAAGTCCCTTCCAACCCAGGCCATTCTGTGATTCGGGTTTGATGTTTGTCCATCCCAGTGAAATGTTGAGAAAATGTGGGTACACCCCACGAGGGCAGAGCTGATTAATCAAATCCACGGTGGGTTGCGACTGTTAGGGACAGACTCTTCAAATGGGATCATTGCTGTGATGCTGGGAGGGAAGAGCAAGCTCTCAGCAGCTGGTTTAAGAGGAGCTCTCCCAGGCAGGATGTGACAGTGCCAGCCCAGAGAGCTCTGTCCCGGGGGAATTCCTGGAGTGCGTTAGCTCAGCTCAGTGCGGCTCCCGATTGCTCCAGAGAAACTCCCGTGCACCAGGTACTTGAAAGCCCATCTGACATGTTGTTTACGTGTTGAGATGCCTGGATGGCCATTATTTGGTGTTTTAGAAAAATAAATATTTGACATTCACAGATGAAGACATTTTCAATGGCACTTGAAAAATTAAGTGGGAAATCATCCACATCTAACGCAATCAGCTCAGGGCTCGGGTCGGAGCTTCCCCCTTGGCACTCCTAACTTTTTCTAAATAGATTACTTCCCAATCAGATCAGTTGCAGTAATTACTTTGATTAAGGTACTCTTAACTTCTGAAATGAGAAGTTCTTTCGTGGTATCCTGTGATCCAAGGAAAACCCTTGTCAGGACAAGCTGCTGTTGGGAAACGGAGTTGAGCATGATCCCAGTGTACTTCCACCTCTGCCAGCACTGTCCCCTGTGGGAGCTGAGGAGATCTGGCCTTTCTTGCCTCAGTTTCCCTATCTGATGGGTCAGTGCTCATGGTAATCCTGGGATCTGTGGCCAAGCCCAGGGGAAGGAGCTGCAGGTGGACAGGATTCCCTCAGCAGCACATTGAGCTCTGCTCTGTTGTCACATTAAAAATACAGCTCACCATGGGGAGAGTTTTTGGAAAGTCCAGCCCCATCAGTGAGATTTCTGTGCATGCTGCTGAACATAACCCTAAAGCCAACATTTAGGGAGTGCCCATCTGCTGCATTAGATCAGTGAGGATCCACTGCCTGCCGAGTGATGTGGCTGCTGGAATGACAGAGAAAGAGGTGGCAGAAATCAAAGTGATCCCTGATAGTCCTACCTCCTGTCTGACTTCACAATTCCTTTTTGGTGGGTGAGGAATCTAGTCAGGACTCACAAAACATCTCTAGTTCTCTGTTCATAGTATTTATTGTAGCGGTGTAGCTTTCGTTATAACACTGTCATGAAAATAAGTTTAACTAAAAGGAACTGTTAACTCCACAGCAT